GAGTCAGCATGAGTAATATCACATATTAAAACAGTGCACACATGTTGGGAAAAGCATGACATTAAATTCGCCCCCGCGGCAGAATCGCAGCGACACGGCGACATTGTCGCAGAACGCTACTGAGTTCGTGCAGAATGATTTTTCTTTAGAAAATTAAAGAATAATTACTTTTCATCAGAAGGTTACACGTAATATATGAATCATGCCTTTAGGTAATCACTTTTTGACGCGCTAAATTTATGTCGATAGTATCGTGAATCGATGTATAATGGCTCCGATTGTATTTTCGGCAGTTATTGATATTGATGTTCATGTGAATTTTAAATATCCCGATATATTTCAAACAGTATGGAAAATTCGAATCGTGCATTTGAGTATGTACTTTAAGACAATGATTCTATCGAATTTTATGCAGTTATTGCTATTGATCTCTCCATAGTTTTCAAATCCGATATTTTTTATACTATATTACTTATTACAACCTTATCTCGAAACGAAACACGTATTTAAGGATTAGCGTCATTTCGTCGTCGATCTTTTTTTCGGCAATTACTACTACAGATTTCATGATTTTTAATTATTCTTTTTACTGTGCATTTACAAAATGCGAAGAAGGAAATAATTTGTGCGCACCCCCCCCCCCAACAAAATGCGAGAATATCACCCATAATATTAGAATAAAAAACTGTTACTTGTTCAATTAAAAATATATATATATATATATGTTTTTTTTTTTCTTTTGGGTAACTACGGCGCTTTTATTATTTTAAATTAGTAACATACATGTTTGTTATTATTGAAAGTATCTTACAGAAAGATATTAGTGCTAGAGAGTTTTGTCGCAGATAGCTCGAAAAAGTTCTGCCACAGGGAAATTTGCAATAATTAATGCAGAAATAATAAAATATCCACATAGACATTCAGTACACTTTAATCATTAATTTATATACTTAAAGTAAGAGAGTATGTTCACAATTTGTTGAAACCAGAAATAAATTGTAAGACTTGCAAACAAAACAATTCTCAAATCAAAATAAGATATTTTATAACAAGATCAATTTAAAACAAAAATTGGAAATCATTTAAAATTCATTTAGCTTTATCTTTTTATGTAAGTACAAGTGATTTTATAATTAATGCTTTGCTTTAACTAAACTTATGATCTCACAGTAAAAACCACTTCAACCTTATTAAGAAGCCTGTTCTCTACTCAAGTGTTAACATGAAGACATTGCTACTAAATGTGAAAACTGAATGCGAATTGGGATTCAGAAACAAATTAATTGCCTGAAGTTAGACCTTAAGTTACCACATTTAAAATATCAAACAATCCAGGAAAAATTGAGGTAAGCCTAAACGGATTACCAGCAGGCTGCAGTCTCACAAACTTAAACACATAAATACCTGTTACTAACGTAAGAAGCTCTTGCTGAACATTAAGTGTATAAGTTTTAAGCAAAAAAGGTTACTTAAGGAGGAATATCAGGGGCAATAAACACAGGGAGAGCTGCTGTTAAGGACTCAGCTGAAATTCAATATAAAAAGTGTTGTAAATGATAAATTTGTTTAAAAAAAAAATTTGCTGAGTTTTTCTTTAATATGGAATGAATAATGTATAAAACCAGTAGAATACATTTAGTTTTCAACTGAAATAAACACTAAAAAAAGCTAGGGGAATTAATAATATTTTAGTATGTATTAAAAAAATACACAACACTAGACTAAAAATGCAGCTACAATTTGGAACAAAAATAAGATTTTCCAGATATCTCACAAAAAGGAAAATACTGTTTTTTTTGGTTGTGAGTAAAGGCAGGGGTCTGTCAAGACATTTTGTGAAAGGTCCTGTTTTTGTAAAATTGTGTAAAAACTATTCATAATTTGTGAATATAAAATAAGCGTTAAGTCACATTCTTTCAACCAGGGTCCTGCTTTTGTGAATTTATACAAGTAGGGTTCCGTTATTGCAAAAAATCTTTTCAAGAAGTTTTTAAATTGTAAATAGATACAAGATTCTGCTCAACAATTGCTGCTACTAAATTAGAGATGCAACATACAAATATTTGGTATTTAGCCTATACAGCTCAACACAGAATATTCATTTTGGACGAATAATGGAAATAAAACCACTCATATTTTTAATAATTTCAATTTACATATTTTAAATAACACAACTTAGTTACGTATCATTTTTAATGGAAAATATTTTTATAAAAATATTCTTTATAGTATTCTTTTTAAAGTCTGATTTCATTGATAATGAAAGTTTAAACTAAAGCAATAAAAAAAAAGAATAAATTGTTTCTAAATAGTAAATAAAATTAATGACTTTAATAAAATTAAGTGGATAAGAATAACGTTAAACTATTAAATTATTATTTCCCATTAGCTGTTACCAATTACCTAAAATTGTTTCATTACTATACTTAATTATATCTTCTGAATCCTCCTAATTTATCTCCTGAATCCTGAGATATGTACTAATCCAACAATAATGCAGACATCACTCAGGGTCAGAAATTAAGAAAAATTAGTCACTGGTCCACAGATCTTCCATACATTAGTGTCTTAAAATTCTTATTATATCTTAATCTTTTGCTATACATTAGTGACAAAAGATTATGATAGTCCGAACACTTTTCACATGTCCGTTTACAAATCTCAATTATATTCTGTTATTTAAAAACATAATTAAAGTGAGTTTAAATGGAAAATTATAGTCCACAACAGAGTGTGTAATGATGTTTAAATATGCTATTTTATGACAATAACATAGACCTAGACATGTAATAGAAAATGAAATCGAAACACTCTTTACATCGCTTTTTGGTCGGGGGACCACTGATAATTTTTTTTTTAATGGTCCAAATCAAATTTTAGTGATCTCAGACAGGGATGCCATGCTTTAACAAAAAAAATAGATTTAAACCAATTGATTTTTTTTAAAGTCAAAAACATTTTTATAAATATATTCAATAGGGTGTGATTCCTACTAATGGCTGATTTTATTGATAATGAAGATTTTATTCAAAGAAATAATAAAAGGGTCAATTATTATATTTCAAAATAGACTAATAAATAAATTAATTAATAGACTAAAAGTGGATATGAGTTGCTAAACTGTTAAATAATAATTTAAGTAGCTGTATATGTAAAATAATATGCTGGAAACCAAAATATTTCAAATATACCCAGTTCGTTTTATGCTTATTTGAATACCTCAAGTGCTTTTAATACATATTAAATATGTAGTTGGTGTTTACCAGTATTTAATAAAGTCTTGCTCTGCCTTGAGAAATATATATATATATACATTTTTTTCTTTACTGTGTTCCGATCTAAATTAAGTTACACTTCACTGGAGACTTAACTGGCTAATTGCCTCCCGGTCTTGAAAATTACAGGACATTTAGCTTGAACAAAAATAATTGTGATTTCATTCATTCATTGATTAGTTTGTAAATACTTAAATAATTTTTTAAATATTTCAGTTAGAAATATCAACAATTTCAGCTATAAAAATACTGTTAATATATTTTGTCCAATGATTTAGTTGGTAGAGTTAAAAAAAAAAAAAATCTGATTTAAATCAAATGAGTCAGATGTTTATTTTTTTTATAAAAATTTTTGAATTTAGCCATCTCTGGCCTTGGACCACCATTAATTTTGAACCATGCTACTATTAATGCAGGTTCCCAACAAAACGGCTTTGAAATATATAATTTTTTTTCTTTACTCATTTTCAAATCATTGTTTTTGGAGCATTTTATAAAGGCAATATTTTTCAGTATTTCTTTTTTCCGGATTTAGCAGCAGAGTGCAGCAATTCAGTTTTAGTTCAAAAAGTATACCTAAAGCTGATCTTTTCTCCCCCCCCCTCCAGTATAGACAAACATTCACAATAGAATGAAAAGTCAATAATTACAGAATGATAGATGGTCAATAACCTAATTTCTATTAATAAAAACGAAGTTGTGAAATAATGAACAGCCAAATTCAAATTGTTTAGGCAAATGTAAAAAAAAGCACTATTTGTGCTGCAATTTAGTAAAAAATTCCAGAAACAATTCTAAGGAAAAATTTGATTTAAATGATGTATTTGATGTTTGTTAGTTGGAAAAGTGAGACTTTTTATTTTAACCCTAAACCATTCAATACAATACGATCACTTTCTTCACAAAATAAATAAAAAATAAGCACTGTTGACAATAATAATCTTATTTTTATTGCAATTTAAATCATTTTAAACCTAACCAATCGCCATCGATTGGTTAAGTTTCTTTCCTTTGCAGAAAATAAGATTATTAAAACAACTTATAAACAATATAATTACTGAACACCAGACAGCTTTGCTCGATAAAAATCAAAGTTAGTGAAATCTATATCGAAGAAATTCACTCAACTTTCACTATCTATTAAGTTTTTTTATTTTACTTAAAAATCTAAAATACGAACATAAATTTTAACAACTGGAGCAGTTGTTCATGTTATTAACATTATTAAATAATTTATAGCATAAGCTGTTATTTAAACAAGGTTTTGTTTTAATCTTAAACAAAATTTTAAAAATTATTTATAACGCTTGAAACTAAATGCATAAATAAAAGTACACTATAATAGTCAGAGTGAATAATCTTATCTAAAACAATGTACGACGTTAGAGATCGATGTGGAATTTTTCTATTACAATCCTTTTCATTAAGTTCATAGTTACGATCGTTTAGCAGTAAAATATAGCAGTTAAAAAACAAACTAAAACTCAAAATCTACAAAACCACATTAATTTCTGCAATAAAAGATTAGAAAATCAGCTAAAAATGCAATAAACATAAACCGAGGTTTTGTCGAAATGTCAACAACACATGCGCAAATGTTACCTGATTATACTACATTTTCTAGAACACTTCACAATCAATAAATACATTTTAACACACACATATTTTACGATGACATAAATTTTAAGAATAAAAAACTGTACAAAAAATTGGTAAGTATCTTACCAGCAATTTCAAAGTAGCCAGCAAAGCCAGCTGATAAGCCTGGGTCAAGCAACCGCTATGTTTCCTTTGAGAAACATAACTGCGTATTTACCAATTTTGTAAAATTTAAATAAAATCTAACAGTTTCTATACGGAAATTGTCAACTACCGGCTTAATCAGAAAAAAACACGTTGAGATGAAGAAGCTTTAGTAGGAAAACAATCGCACGCTTTATTTAAGAATATAAATAAATCCGGTTAAAACCGCTCGAAGGTCCACTAGAAACACACGATTCGAAAAGACAGAACCGGCGCCCACTTTGGCGACTGATTTATCGATTTTTCGTGAACTTCATATAATGCAAACTTATTCGGTAGATGGCATACCTTAGAACGTTGTTGGCGCTATGCCAATTCTGTTCGAAGCAAAAGCTGTTGAATAAATTATGACCAAATCTTCATTACTCAATAAAATTGGTAAAGGAAAAAATAATAATAAATTCATTATTCCATTATATCTCATATTAAAAAGAATATAATTCTTCTAATTAATAATTTAATTTTTAGTTGGGAAGATGGTTTGAAAATTTCTATTTAAAAAAAAGATGAAAAATATTTATAGGGTAGATGTTTTTTCAAGCTCTAAGTTTACTACACGACTTAAAATTGAAATAATTTCACCGTAATTAACAGAAAATTAATTTCACATTTTTGCTAGCAGCTGGAAGATTAAATAATAGTTTCAAAAAAAGAATTATACTTATTGAGTAGTAATTAAAAAAAAGCGTAGGACCGGAAACTACGCAGTTTTGATTAATTTCACATACTTCACTAAGTTATAAAAAAATTAACCCAATTCGAAATAGAATTGTTGAAGATTACATTATTTTAGATGTATTGATACCAGATATAATTTCCAGAAATTGTCTCCGTTAAAATAGCTAAAAAAAACTATTATTAATTTTTGTTAAACAGACACTTGAATGTCTGATTAGGTGATTATTCTAATTAATAATTGCAATTACGGAAAAGGATGAAAAAAATCGTCCAAGTAGAATGAAACTCGTATCGTCATTTTCGCCAATTTGGCGATATTTATAATAAGGCATTTTCATATTCGGTAAAAGTATGTCTGAAATTATATCATAAAAGTTTACTGCACTGAAAGCATAAAAGATTAGTAACGAAGAAAAACTACTGACTGATGTAAAAAAGGAAAATTTCGCCTAAGATCTATTTAATTTCATTATTATTTATTTAAAAACCTTTATTTTTTAAAACTCTTCGCTCATTGACACTCTTGTTTAAAATATAAATAACGAGCTATTATGTACTTGCAGAACTTTGAATATCAAATGCACAATATCTTAGAAATCTCAAAATTGAAACTGTTCTTATTGAAATTTTGATGGAGGAACAATAAATAAATGAATAATCTCAAATGGAAAATAAAGTAACTAAAATATAACATTAAATAACTAAACAAAAATTCTAACAAGCAACTAGATAAAAAATCGAAGTAAATTACTTCTATAATTTGAATTATGTCTTTAATACGACATTCGTGTCTTAGGCTTTTCGATAGAAACTTTTTCTTTGTGGTTAAATGAAATTGTAAGATCTACTCCTATTTTTCCATTACTGCAACTAATCATTTAAGTAAAGTAATCTTCAAAAAATTCCTATACACAGTATTAAAATAAGTATAGACAGTCAGGTGGTCAAATAATGACTCACGACACGATTTAGGATTATCCTGTATCAGCAAAATAAATAAAAGTGATTTATCAAAACAAATCAAAACACTTTTATGACTAACGATATTGGTAAATTTGTTCTACCCATGTAGTTCCTTGAAATGTGGCCTTTCAAAATAGAAACACCTGCCGTGACGAATATACTTTTTTTTTATCACTTTTTATGACTTGCGAATTATGTGCTTAATATTTTTATTCTATATTTATTTTAAGACTCTATTTTCTGCTTAGAGCTATTTACGATAACTCTTATAATTAAAATTGTCAAGTGTCATTTTTTTTTTAAATTTCTGACAGAAAATATAGTTTTGTATTTAATAATTTGTAAATATAGTATTTAACAGTTCCGTTATTTGATATAACAAAAAGCAGTAATAATATTTGGAGAAGAATTGCGTGAAAGGCTAAAAAAAGCAATGAAAATTTAACAACGTAAGACTAACTTTCAAGAGAGAACAAGAACGTCAAACCTGTACCGTCTTTACGCATGGGCACACCTGAGCAGTGCCCGAGGGCCCCAGGCACTCAGGGGGCCCTTGAGAATCTTTTTTTTTATAAATTGTATTAAAAAAAACTAAGACTAAACAAAATTACCTGACAGATTTTTTAAAATAAATATATTATATTGCATGAAGTGTGTATTTTGTTTTTCTTTCTACAAATAGTGATTGATAATTTTGCAAACAACAATAATTAGAATATTTTATCACCAAGGAAACTTAAAAAGGCAACTGAAATATATATTTCTACGTTCCAATGAAATTTTTATGTGTTTCAGAATTTTTGGAGTCTACTAAAAACAAATCTAAATACATTTTAATCAAAATGTATTTAAATTTGTTCAAATTATTGCATATGCAGAAAACGCTTTATTTTATGTATGTGAAGTTTTTTAGTTCGATCTTAAGCAGTAGGACATGTTACAAGGGCCCTGCATGCTATTAAGACGGCCCTGCGTCAAACACACATATAAATTACATCTAAAACACGAAAGTACTGGTTGTGGTTTCAATATGTTTTCAAGAATGATTTGAAACCAATTTCTCAATATTTTGAAATTTTAATGCGGGTTTTTCTTGCATCAAGCTGCAGATTTAATTTTTGTATTTTTTTTTTTTTTTACTTCAATTAAAAGAAAATGATAAGTTCTTTTGTGAGGTTTTAAATGGCCCAATTTAATATTTTTACAAAATATACATAACTACATAAGGGTACTACATAAGCGCAACTGCATAAGGTATGAATTAAATATAGAGTTTAATGGCGCAAAAGCCGGATTCGATTATACAGTACCAAACGTAAGTGCGGCTTTCAGGAGAACTCTTCCAAACATCAGGCTCGCGTCGTGGCGGGTACCATGGCAACAAGGAAAAGTCACTTCGAATAGGGGTGTGGGGTGAGTAGTTTTGTCTTGATCTTGGCATAGGTCGGCATGAGTAAACCAATCGACTCCTTCATTGCTCCATTGCACAGCCATTAAAAATGTGCTTTAGCTTGTTACCATGGCAGCAGACAGCCCCAGACTTTTTGTCTGGAGGAGTTCTCAAAACCGCACAATAAACGGCAATGCATATACTCTGATAAGCTAGCTGAACAGTACTGTAAGTTAAAAAAGAAATAAGATCACTGGGTTGAGGGTCCCGTCACCGAGCAACTTTAGGGTTAAGGGATCTGCGTCTATCTGAAGAAGGCAAACCATCTAGGTCGTATATACTTTGTCTAAAGTAAGAACTCCCCTAGCCATTCGTCTGGACCCGTGGCTGTGACTATGGTAACGAGGTCAAACTATTTCAAACAGGGATGTGGGGTCATTGTTTAGGACAGGTTTCGGCTCGGGTCAGCTAGAGAAAGGGAATCTTTTTCTTCGGTCTACTGTGTTAGCCCTAGAGTGAAGGGAAGCTAAGCCAAAGAATATATAATCTTATATATTCTTTGGCTAAGCTCCCTGAAATGCGCTATTCTTGTTTCCATAGCAACAAACGATCTCAGACTTTGTGGTGGGGGGAGTTCTTACCGTAAGCAAACTATACGCCTCATGTTATTCATGAGAAATGGAAGAAATATTACGTTTTATAAAGGAAGGCAGTTATTTAATAACAACACTGGTTTTTGCTTCATGCTTCAATTTTTTTTTTTTTTTTTGGATTTTATATTTTAATATAAATATGATTCTGATAATGAAACAGAATTTTTTGGTAACTATTTGACTTTTTTTTAGAGTAAAATAGTGTCAGAAAAATATATATATAAAAGGAGAGTCAGAAGAGAGTCATTAGAGTCAGAAATATATATATATATATATATATATATATATAACAATTGTGTGGGATTGCATAGGGATAGTAAGAATGTATAAANATACGCATATATATATATATATATATAACAGACACTAGTGTGCTAGTGTCCCATCTGCTTCAAAGGGTAATGAGATATTGAAGAAGTCCACCATCGATATCGGTAAATAATAATGAGTTCGTCTCACTTTTTTTTTTTTTTTTAGGATGCACAAGGTGGAAATCTTAATAGGCATTTATGCAAAGTTTTAAATATTTATATATATGTAAAAATTGTTAAGAAATAAAATACTACATATTTTCGCTAAATTTCATTTGTATGGATTTTTACTCAAAAGAAAGCAAAATATACTTATATTTCACTACACATGTAATGTAAAATTGCTTTACGCCTAACTATTAATAAACTTAATGATTGCAAATGATTCTCTAATAATAAAAATTACATAAGCTTTAAGGTGATAGTTTTAATTTCTTGATACTTGAATTTAAAAAAAAAAACTTTAACTTAATTATTTTACGCATCATGCATTTAATATTTTTTTTCCTGAGATTTGATGCATGATATAAAAATTTACTTTCTTAGATTATCTCAAACAGTATTACAATATAAAATAATGTTCACGTAATTTTAGAAAAGGGTCGTATGCTGCCTGCCATTTCTACTTTTAAAAAATATATTAGTCCTTAAAAACACGTAACTTATACAGATGAATGCAGTTGACTTGTAATCAACTTTTGTGAACAAAAAAATAGCCGAAGGTCAGCAAAGGGGATTGACGTCAAAGAAAAAGGCCTTCGGGAACCTTTACTTTGGAAAGCAAAAGAAAAAAATAATATTTAAAATTCCCAACCTTAACCTTGATTTTTTGCAAAGTCAAATTTCTATGCTTTGTTGGTTCATATATGCTTAGCAGTTAGCTCATTTACATTTAATAACGATATTTGAAAAATGTTACAGAAAAAAAAAATATTCCATTTCTTAGAAGTGGCTTAACTGAAGTGGAATATCAAATAGGTGTGTTCCTTACTGGCGGTATAAATCGGACATCAGTAAGGGCTTTAATGACAAAATAAATAAATAAATAATAAAAAAATAATAATAAATAATAATTACGTAGGTTTAGTTAAATATTATGGGTAATGTTCTGGTGAAAACGGGTAAAAAATTAACTCTATTCTTCGCAATGTAATTTTAATAGGATTTATTTATAAATATGCGCTATGAATAACTTAAAAATCAAGGTGTGCTTCAAATAATATTTTAACTTTTATTGATACTATAATTTTTTTAATTAAACAAAAAATATTTTTATAAGT